GCTGCCGGCAGGACGGCCTACCATCCCCACCGATCGCATGACGCGCTGGCCGGGCGGCGCGGGTGGACCGCGATGGGATGGCCTGGCAAGCGAGCCACTCAGAACGGCGCGCATGGGGAGGAGAAGGATAGCGCTTGAGCAGTAGGCTGGTCGGACGCTTGTATTCGCCTATCTTTAAACGTTAATATCTCGTTAAATATTGCGTCAACTGCAAAATGGTACAAAACTGTTTTGTTCCCCTTGATCCAATCTATGTCCCCATTGTGTTTCGATCCGTTTTTTTTAGACACCCTGTATAGTACTAAACATTTATTCGTATTTTAGGACAATTTTGATATTTCATCTACATGTGGCGTTTGTGAGACTATTTTTAATAACAAGGATGATTTGGAACAACATCCATGCTTTAAGGAATACAATCATTATATCATCGATGACGAAGAAACTCTGGGAAGAAGTATTTACGGCTCTTGGCGATAAATTGTATTACTTTGACTAAAATTGTAAATTATAAATTATATTATTTTGAACTATTAAGCACTCAATATTTGTCGTATATTGAAAAATTCTACACTCGTATCAATAAAGATTTTGAAGTTGAATCAAATCCATTTGAGTGAAAAAACATTGATGTATCGAATTATGTATTTTCATGTTTTCTTTTAGGAACATATTCCATTGATTCCATTAAAAAGAAGTGGAAGTCTCCATCAGATTCTTTTCGAATTTATCCGAAGAAGGAGCAAGCGGCGAGTGGATCTGCTGCAACAAGTGGAAGAAGACCGTGGATACATTTGCAACGTATGCATTTTTTGCGTGATCTTCAGCTACAGAGCAAGTACATATGTATTAATGATAATAATACTAATTATTAGTATTGTTCGTTTTCTCTCGGAAGCTGCTCGGAGTCGCTCCAAACGAACCCAGCGTACTTGATAGAATGCTTTTAGACGTGTAAAACAATTGTAGTGTTCTTTTAGTGTTCTTTTAGATTCTAAAAAAACAACAAGTGTTTTACACGTCTAAAAGCACATTATCAAATATGCTGGGTTCGTTCGGAGTGACTTCGAGCAACTTCCGAGACAAAACGAACAATACTATTATATATGTGTGTATGTAATAATCAAATTTTCTTTTCATTATAGAACTATCAGCAATATTGACTCAGACTGTAATGATTTAATGGACATGGCCAGCTCAATTTGTGACAACAGCAATAGCAGCAGCAGCAGCATTGATCATGTATCACGTATGTTCATTTTATCAAATTAGCACATTCCCTGCGCGCGCTCCGCGCGC